GAATTTTAAAAATAAAAACACAAAAATCAGGCCCAGTACGTTTTTCTAAGGTTCGCTTTTTTCCCCTTTACTTGGTAATGCACTGATATCACTATGAAAATATTTTCGAGGAGAAAATTAGAAAACAAGGGATTTACATTAAAAAGTAGCAAATATTTTTAAAACGTAGTTTGGCTCAAAAACAAGCTAAACTGTTTTTGGGTCTTCTGTCCCTAGCCTTGTTAGAAGTTATTGCATCGTTAGTCGTTCCAAATCGGTAACTTTCTTGACACTGAGTTTGTCAGTTCTTTAATCACCTTGTTCCTCCGTGTTTCTATTTAAATGAAAAGTCAGAAATTAACTTCTCATGTGACTGGGAAAGGCAGTTCTACTTCTTTGAAAATTTAACCAAATGTGAGGCCCAATCCCATTCTGCGTGTCTGCAGACTTGGAGGGACTTTAGGTTTGTTCTCTGGAGAATGGGGTCAGATCGAATAGGTGTGTAGTCCTGTCCTTTACCATAATCGAAAACTAGTTAGCATGTGTTCGTAAGGTAAGTGTTTTTGCTTTATAAAGAGAAGAAAAGACGCAAAATGTCAGCCTTTTTCATTCCTGATAACCTGTGCCTAGAGATGAGTGGAGAGACGTGGGTGGTCTGAACAAATGCTGTCAACCGTCTAGGTTTCTAGGAATTATCGAGAGAACAGAGGTATAGACAAAAAAAAAGGAATCCCCAGGGAGGTCCGCGCCCTGGGGAGACCTCTATAAATTTCCTGCAAACAACCTCTTGAGAAGGAATCAGGGAGCGAGCCAAGAGAGCAGAACTCATTTAAATTCTCTTCCCTTCGCCTTTCCTGTTGCAGTGGCGCGGGCAGCTAACCCCTGCGGGCGCGGACTCCAGGGCTGCTGAGCCTCACCGCCCAGCCCCGCCCCCTGTGATGGCGGCCAATGGGAGCCGGCCGTGCGTGGGGGCGCGGCCAATGGGAGCCGGAGGGCGGGGGCTCGCTGCTCTTTAAGGAGCGGCGGGAGGTGGGGGTCCCAGCAACCGAGTGTCAAGAGTGCGCCAACGGCTGGAGTGTCCCCACCATGTCCCTGCAGGTGAGCCAGAGATCGGCAGGTCGCCTCAGAGGGCATTTTCTCGGGAAGGAAGCGCTCAAGGGGGCGTGGGGCCGGCGTGACGCCCTCCAGGCGGCGGCGCGTCTCGGACCCAGCGGCCCGCGTCCTCCCCCGACCCCCCCGGAGCGGTCTGCGGTGACCCCGAGGACACTCCCACCCCTTAGTGAGTGCCCCCTTATTGCAGTGGAGACCACAGTGGTGTCATTTGTTGACGACCGGCCGGAACTCCCTATGGCAACTCTTGTGGAACCCGGGGGAATGGTTAAACGCAGAGCAGGCACAAGCCCCGGGGAGGGTGGACCAGGCGGCTCCGGGAGGACGGGGCGGCCCCGCTCCCACCCTTTCCTTTTTCGGAGGCGAGGGCGGCTGGGGTCTCACACGCTCCTCTTCGCTCCTGGGTACGTCCGGGGGTTCTCTTGGTTAAGGACAGACTATAATTTAAAAATCCCGTTTTTTTGACATAACGAAATAATCTATGTTCAAGGGTGGAAATTTTGAGGAAAAAGAACAAAGTAAGTAAAAATCATCAGGAATTTCTTCATCAAGTGATAACCACTGCTGACATAATGGGTGCTTTTCTCCTATATACGAGAAATGTGTGTGCGCATGTGTGTGTGCGCGCGCAGGCATGTACATGTACACGTTCATGTGTGTGGGTATATGTGCACACCGATTATGCTGTTATGTTTATACAGTTTTGTTCCTGTACGTAACACTATGTTACGAGCATTTTCTCATTAAATATTCTTCTAAAATACGATATTTTAAAATATCTGCTTACAGATTTTATGGAATGAGCACGGCTCACTTCATTAACCATTCTTCAGGCAATATGTTAGGAGGGTAAAGACACATACTCCAGAGTCAGCGGGGTTCAAATCCAAACCTCACCCCTTCTTAGCTGTGGCATAGTTACTAAACCCCTCTGTGCCTCAACTTTCCTTATCTAAAAATGGAGGAAAGAGACTATTAAAGAGTAAACGAGCTGCATGTACAGAACATTTAAAACAGTGCCTGATGTGTGCTAAGTGGGTTCTTGAACATTTAGGTGTTTTTTTCTTATGTATGACATATAATTCATATTGAACTTTCCTTCCAAAATAATCAAATCTTTCAGTGTCAGAACTTCCTTTTTAGCTTAGTGCTTCATTTTGTTTTGTTTGGCAAAACAGATAGGATTTCTAAACAGTTATAACCTCCAAATTTTATTTAAAAATTACAATGTGTTTACTTCCACAGCAAACCTTTTAGGCAAGCAGACAGACAGTCACATAAACTGGACACATTTCTTGCTTAGATGAAGACACTAAAAGGCAGACTGCTTTTTCTAAAAGATGCAGCTTTTTGTGTCTAGGGAATTCATGATTTTGCAATGGGAACAAAACTAACCCCTTTCCCTCTACACCCACGTTTGAATAACATAAGAACTGCGCAGTTCCTTAAGTGTGAGAATTTTTGACCTTGTTAATTCAATTCCTCACTGGGAAGGAGTTGCTCACAAAGGCATTTCACCCCCATGTGTGGGAGGACCACGTTCTCTGGCTGCAGAAGGTAAAGCTAGATTAGGTGAGAGTCAACCCTCAGGGGCTGTCTTCAGCAGAAGCCAGGATGGTCAGTGCTTTTAGGTGGTAAGAGACAGGTTCCATCTCCAGAAAGGCAGGATGCACTTACTGGGAGTGATGGTGGTGACACTGAGGTCACTGGAGGTGGAGTGCTCCACCAGGAGTGTGGCCGGGGGCCTTGTGATGAACACATGAACAGGAAAAGGTCTGGGGAGAGACCCAAAAACAGTGAAGAATCTCCACCATATTTGCCAGCAAAGTGATGCACACATGCATTAAAGCAGGATGCGGAGGACCTGGCTCCCGAACAATCAGCTCGGTAGAGGCTGAAATTCCTCACTGACCACAGCGAGCCCCGCTCCTCAGCACAGAAACATAACTGAAAGTCCCTTTTGCCCAAATGCTTTGGAGTTAAATGTAAACAGTTGTACATTTAAAAGCTGTTTCTCACCTATGACAACTTTCAGCACCCACTTAATATTTTCTCACAAATACATTTATTTAACAAAGGGCTCAGACAGGCTGTACCTCCTGCCAACTGTCTATACGGCACAGCTCTTGCTCCCAACATGAATATTTACACCGGCCCTCTGTTGTGAGTATGTGGGGGAACAAACAAACACAGGCCCACCCAGCCTTTATGTGGAGCCCTAATACCTGCTGTCTGTGCTGCCTGGAGCCCTTCCCGGCTCCCTTCTATCCCACCCTGTGGCTCAGCTAAGCTCTATCTCCTCTGGGAAGGTTTCTTCCACACCTGCTGCTGCTCCCCCCTCTCTGTTCCCAGAGCACCCAAATATCACATGATCATTGTTGACCAATCATCTCCCAGGAGACCCTGCGCTCCTTGCGAGCCAACTGCCTGTTTATCCCTGGCTGCCTACCCAGGCCTGGGCCATCATAGGTGTTCAACACATCTGTCAAATAGTATGATACGAGTGATGCACTCTGGGAGGGTAGAATCAACAGAACAAAATCAAGAATATTTGTTATTAATCGTTTTTAATCCTAACACCTTCCTGCTGCGGCCAGTAGGATCCTTTTTTCAGCTGAAGCTGAATCTCAGAGGAGCTTAGTTACTTGCAGAGTCCCACAGCAGTGTGTCTCACAGCTAGAATGTAAATCCAGCATCCTGATGTGAGGCCTGCATTCTCTGCACTCCAGCTCATGATGGTTGGATGGGAAAAGGCCTCACAGAGGAGGACACGAGAATCACACCACAGAGCAGGAAGGTCCCAGGTCCAGGTGCCAGGGAAGGGTGTGCTGGACAGAGAATGATCCTGGGCCTGCTCTGGAATGGGCTCCTCTGCCTGGGGAGAGAGGAGGGCCAGGGGCCTCTGAAACTGCATGTGAAACTGTGTCAGGGGCTGGACTCTTCCTTGGAGAGGGTCCAAGGTTTCATGAGACTGCCAGTGGTTCCATACCCCACAAAATATAAAGAACAATTTCCAGAAACTGCTTCATGGAAGGAGGAACCTCACGTGATTTTCGGGAAGCCTTAGAACTCTTACCAAAGCTTGGCTTGCCAAAAGGACTTGAGGTGCTGTCACTGGAAAATGGCAGGAGACGACAGCAAACAGAACACCAAAGACACCTGGTGCACCTGAAGGGGATGATTGTGACACCTCTGTGAATAGCCTGCCTGGCCTGGCCCTTAGGAAGTCCTGCCATTAAGGCAGCATTTTTATTTCGTCCTTATTATAGACACGACATGTGCGCATTATAGAAATTTGGAGAGCGGAGAAAGTATTAGAAATCCAGAAAACTTACCAACAAATGACCTTTTTTTATGCAAAAAAAGATAATTTTTGCATATTTTAGTATATTTTTCTAGTCTTTATTTTTTCTGTATTACTTACAAAGCTGAGTGTATAAACACAACTTCGTATTTTTTGTTAAATTATAAAGTATTTTTTAGGTCTTGCTTTGTTGCAAGTACTTTTTTTTAGTTTTTTCTAGAACTACTTTTTTTCCCTCAAAGAGCCTTATAATAAAAATAATAGTAATTAAACTTTATTGAACCAGTCATTATGTACCAGGCACTATTTTAAATATTTTACATGTGTTAATTTATTTAAATCCTCCTAACAACCTTGTAGGTAGGTGGTGTTATTGGCCCGTATTCCAGATGAAGAAACAGACACAGAGAGGTTAATAACTTGCCCAAAGTCACACAGCCCCAAAACAGTGAAGCTGATATTCAAACCAAGGCAGTCTAGCTCCAGAGTCTGTGTTCTTAACTATGGAATTATGTATAAAGCAGCTGACAATTTCCTAGAAAGACAGAAATATGAGGCAAGACATTCATCCCTTGTCACTTGCACCCATGCTTCTCAGATCCCCGTAGGGAATAATTAGGAGGCTGGGCCATTTTCAAGGTTATTTAGGTTGGAGGGTCTCTGGTTTACAAGTGATTTTTGTTCCTTACAAAACAACTGTTCTAGTTGCGCTACTGGCCTGTCTTTGGCGCTGGATGGAAATTTTATCCAGCAACTCCCCTGAGACCCTTGGGGTCCAGACATTATAGTGGCCTGTCCGCTTCCACTGCAGGCCTTTGGATCAAAAACGAGTTCTGGCTTTGGAGAAAGAAAATGTGGGGTGGGCGTAGAATGCCTCGTTGAGCTGCTTTTATTTGATACCTGACAATTCTGCTTATCTCTGGTTTAAAACAATTAACACATGTAAGTAAAATACAGTTTATTAAAAAAAAAAAAAAAGAATGGAAAAATCATATTAAGGAAAACAATCACCATAGCCTTTGTATATAACCTACTAGGTTAAAAAAGAGAAAGGAGTCTACGGCCATGCCACCCTGAACAAGCCTGGTCCCGTCTGATCTTGGAAGCTAGGCAGGGTCAGGCCTGGTTAGTACTTGGATGGGAGACCACCTACAAAGACCAGGTGCTGTAGGCGTAACAAATTTTAAAAATAAAGCATTGTAAGCTGACAAGTTCCTTGCAATCTGTGAGGTCGACGAAGGGTTGCCTTGCCTAAAAAATAATAATAATAATAAATAAATAAAATAAAAATAAAAAGGAGACAAGAACAAAGCTTCTAAGAGCACTTTGTCTCTGTAAGGAATATGCTGGCCGGGTCCTAGGCTGAGGGTCTTGGGGAGTCAGGTCGGTCAGAGTTCAGAGTCAAGTCACGAAAGGGGAAGACATGGTTTATTACAAAGTTTATAAACGAAGTTTCCAGGAAGCCAGTATCTTTTCACTAGTCAGCTCAAATTTGGCTCAACAACTTCTCTTCTGTAAAGCAGTTGAAATAAGTCTTTTAAATTTTGGTCTCAGTGTTTAAAGGGATCTGATTTACAGGCAACTGAATGAAATTAGAAATATTGCCCTCGGAAACTAGTCCACTAGATAGGGATAAATAATACTGATGTTGCAGAATGTGGGCAAAGAGGCCCTGAGAGGTTATGCCCTGGACAAGATATTAATTGGTAGCAAAGCTGTTGCATTAATAAAATGTGGACTTAGGGAGAAGAGGAGGAAGTGTGCATGAGGGTGGCTGAGAAGCACCGAGTGTAATGCCATTACGGTTTTCTAATAGAAGTTTTTATTTGTGTGCTTTTAACTTGGAAGAGAAATATGTGTTGAAATTTCTCTGCCGTATTTTTTCCCTTTTTAAAAAGTCCTTTGTCTTCACCCAGTTCCTCCGGCCCCTGCCTCTCACGACCACCAGTCTGTTCTGTTTCTGAGTTTGCTTTTTTTTTTTCCCATTTTTCATTCTACATGTAAGTGAAATCATACAATATCTGTCTTTGTCTTATTTCACTTATAATACTCTCAAGGCGCATCCATATTGTCACAAGTGGCAGGATTTTTTTATGACTGAATAATTTTCCATTGTATACATCTTCCTCATCTGTTCATCAATCGATGGACACTTCAGTTACTTCCATGTCTTACTATTGTAAATAATGCTGCAATGAACATCGGGGAGCAAATATTTGTTTGGATAGTGATTTTGTTTCTTTTGAATATATACCCAGAAGTAGAATTGTTGGATCATGTGGTAGTTCTATTTTAATTTTTTGAGGAACCTCCGTACTGTTCTCAGCAGTGGCTGTACCCATTTACAATCCCACTAATAGTGCACAAGGGCTCCCTTTTCTCCATATCCTTGTCAACACTTGTTATTTGTTGACTTTTTTTAATTATAGCCATTCTAACAGATGTGAGGTGATATCTCATTGTGGTTTTGATTTTCATTACTCTGATGACATTTGTCTGATGGCCATCTAGATGTCTTTGGAAAATGTCTATTCAGATCTTCTGCCCATTTTTTAAATCGGATTTTTTGGGGGTGGGGGGTTTTTGGCTATTGAGTTGTCTGAGTTCTTTTTATATATTCTTTATATTTATATTCACCCCTTATTAGATACATGATTTGTGAATATTTTCTCCCATTCAGTAGGTTACCTCTTCATTTGGTTGATGGTTTCCTTTGCTGTGCAGAGTTTTTTACTTCTATGGAGCCCCACTTGTTGATTTTTGCTTTTGTCACTTGTGCTTTAGGTGTCAAAAATCCAAAAAATCATTGCCAAGACTAGTCAAGGAGCTTACCCACTACGTTTTCTTCTAGGAGTTTTGCAGTTTGGGTCTTCTTTTCAAGTCCTGAATCCATTTTGAGTTGCGCTTACGTATGGGGTGAGAGAGTGGTCCAGTTTCATTCTTTCGCATGTGGCCGTCTAGTTTTCCTAATACCATTTACTGTATATTCCACATTGTATATTCTTGGCTCCATTGTCATAAATTAATCAACCATTTAGGTGTGGTTTTATTTCTGGGTCTTTCTCTATTCTGCTCCATTGATCTATGTGCATGTTTTATGCCAATATTGTACTGTTTTGAAAACTATAGCTTTGTAATATAGTTTGAAATCAGGAAGTCGGATGCCTTCAGCTTTGTTCTTATCTCTGAAGATTACTTTGTGTATTTGGGGTTTTTATAATTCCATATAAATTCTAGGATTGTTTTTATATTTCTGCGAAAAAACGCCATTGGAATTTCAGTAGGGATTGCGTTGAATCTGCAGGTTGCTCGGAGTAGTACGGACATCAGAGCAACACTAATTCTTTTAATCCGTGAGCACAGAATAGCTTTCCATTTACTTCTTTCTTCTTCAATTTTTAAACATAGATAAATTGAACATTTTCAGTGTTTGTCCTCCATATCTTATCTATATATCAGGTGTGCCAGGAGAGATGTCCATGAATTAAAATGAGTTATAATAATCCTGGTGGAGCCAGAGCAGTAATGGTTCGTGTCTATTTGAAACCCTCCTCCTCCTCTGGTGGTAAGCGTCCCCAAAGCAGAGGGGCCTGCAAGAAGTTAGCAAAAAAAAAAAAAAAAAAAAAAACGCCTTTTTTCCATTCTGTTTTAGGCTAATTTCAATAAGGCTGCCGAAGACGTGAGGAAGCTGAAAAAAAGGCCAGACGACGAAGAACTGAAAGAGCTCTATGGACTCTACAAACAGTCTTTACACGGGGACATCAACACTGGTATTTACTGTCCTTTTGAAAATAGTAATACGCTTTGAATAATGTTTATAGAAGCCCAGAGTAAAAAGTAAACCTGAAATTGTATCTGTCCTTCTTTTGGCAGAGTGTCCAGGGGTGTTAGACTTAAAAGGCAAGGCTAAGTGGGAAGCCTGGAACCTCCGAAAAGGTGGTTAATTTTTATGTAAGTTCCGTAAACTTTCTTCATTTCCTAGTACGTCTGTCAGTGAAATAAACTGTTTCTATCTTTCTAGGATTATCGAAGGAAGATGCCATGACTGCCTATATTTCTAAAGTAAAAGAACTGATAGAAAAATACGGAATTTAGAATTCAGCACATGAGAAAACTTTCTTTCTGAAGCCTCCATAATGGTTTCTTGACCTAACGTTTAGGAGAGAAATGCACTGTCAACTCTTTACATATCGCAAATATCGTTGCTAGTAACATGAATTGTAATCCTTAATTAGAAGTGTGATAAACTGTATATTTAATGAAATTTTACTTGCTAAAACCGGGTGTTTTTTTTTTTATTTAGGTTTCTGATTCATTATGTGTATCAAAGACTAATCAACATAAAGAGGTGATTTTAAGCGTTCTTTTTAAAAGGTTATTGCTCTGGTAGCATGTGCACAGAAGTGTTAACGATCATTTGTTCTTTTGGCTTCTCTGTTTTTCTTTGATAGGTTAGTATTACTGTTTTGATTACACCAGTAATACAGTTTTTAAAGTAATACAGTTTTAAAGAACCAGTAACAAGATCGTTCGTTTGCTGTGCCGTGTAGCTTTGGGGTTCATGCTGACACAGGGCCTGGCTCCTGTCCTAGTTCCAGTCCTCACTCTGTGACTTAGTTACTAGGTGACCTGAGGCAAATTACTTAACCTTGCTGTAGAGTCGGGAGGAAAATCAATCTCTCAGAGGTGTCAGAATTGACTGAGATAACTATAGTTTTAAAGCTTATGTTATATAAAACATAACAACAAATAAACTAAATTTTTAAAAATAAATTTGAGTCTATAGCTCGTCAAAGAAAAAAAGCTAACAGGACTATCAATTATTTTTCTTTAAATTTTTACTTTTTAAACAAATCAAAAAATGAAACTGAAATGTATATAGTGATGATAAACTGAACAACTACTGAACCTCTTACTGTGAGTTTTATCAGAGTGAAAATGTAGAGTCTGAAATATATTGGCCCAATACTCAGTCTTTTTGGCTGGTATACAGGCTCTCAGAAAAAAGACAGTCTCATTTGAACATTTCTAAAATCTGAGAGTCCATAGGATAAAAATTCCCAAGAAACAGTGTGCCTCTATTGCCTGCATAAGGGTTCAGGTTTGCTATGGTATGACCAGAAGGGTAGATTGATTTCATGTGACTTAAAAAAAAAAAAAATCTAGATCAACTAGATGAATTTCCAGGGAATTATGCTGTGAGAAAAAAGCCAGTCCCAAAAGGATTCATACTGTATGATCCCATGTTTGTAACATTATTGAAATGGCAAAATTATAAACCTAGAAGACTGAATAGCGAGTGCCAGGGAGGAGGCTCGTGGGTGTGGCCGCGTGAGGGCAGCGGCGGGACCCTGTGGTCAGCGGACGTCCTGCATCTTGACTGGATCAGCGTCAGCATCCGGGCGATGATGTTACGTGGGGATTGCGTACGGTGTTCCTGTCTGGGAAACGGGGTCGCGCTGTGTTATTTCTAACCATCACATGCGAATCTCTGAGTATCTCAAAATAAAGAGCTTGATTAAAAAACAACTCTAGCTTGATTCCTAATCTGGAAAATTCTGGGAAGTAATGATGATTCTCACCTCTAGTAAGTTTTGCCTGAAGATAGTCAGAAACCTCCGACGATGAGGTCAGCATCCAGATCCAGCGGCGAGGAGACAGCAGTGACAGGCGAGGGCCTGGCCGCGCTTCCAGCTCTCCGTGGACTTCATTTCCACCAGGCGGAGCGGCAGGTGAAGAAGCCCATCGCGAAAGTCTGGCCTCGACTCCATCGTGAGATTCCCACCTATGGGCTATATTAATAATCTGTTCCAATTAATAATCAAGAATCAGAACGACTTTAGTACCAGGCCTTCTGTAAGGGGACCCTGGAAATCATATCATAGCAGACACGAAAGCACAGCATCGCACACACTAAGTTAAACACAGCATCATTTGCTTGAGGCTGTTTTTAACTTAAATTTATTACGTGAATTCTAACACAAAGCCTTCGCCCCATAATGAACTGATATTCTTTGTACTTTGTTAAAAATGAATGATAAATTCTGAAAAATTCCTCCTGTATGCATTTCCCTTGATCTTGTTTACTAAGACTCTCTATATGATTTTAAAATCGTAACAAAAAACACGAACGCATATCGTGCAATCATAAATATTTCAGTGTTTTCAAAGTTAACGTTTTAATATCTAACGCCGTGTTAAGCCGTCGAAGCCCTGAGGAAGAGACATCGGTTGCATCAAGTAGTGGCGTTTATCGTGAAGATGTAGAGGAAGAAAGGAAGCCAGGATGCCCGATGGAACAGCCAGGACTCCAGGACACAGTCTGCGAGCTGCCAGGGGGCGGGGTCCACGCAGCCCAGGGACCCGGCGCCCCGTCATCGCTGCCAGCAGGCACCTGTGGATCCCACTCGCAGTGTCCTCTGTTACTCTGGCTCAGCCCCTTTTCCCTATTTCTGCTTTTTCTTTCCTCTTTTAGTCCCTGTTTGTTTCCAACTGTTCTGTTTTCTCCCTGCGTCAACACGGGATGGTCACGGAGAGAGGCCGAGGCAGCCTATGGGACTTGGCATTTGCGCTTGGCCACTCCATATGCCCAGGGCCAGACTCTAGATCGGTTGCCCATGGGAGGGCTCCCAAGAGTCCCAGTCGGTCACTGCCAGGGCACTAGCAGGGCCGCTCGGAGCCAACAGGCAGGTGACATGGAGGAGTCAGTCCATGAGAAGAGGGCTAGGGCCTGCGGGCACTCTGCGGACTTGCCAGGACAGATGGCGGCGAGTGCTCAGGCCTGTCTCATTTTAACCAAGCAGTGGGTTACATTTCCTTAGTTAACGGGACAACCCTGCATTTCAAAAGATCAGCTCAGGCTTTGAGCCCCAGCCGATGAAGCAATGATTTCAAGCATTTCCCTTGCCCGTCATTTTCACGGTTTAAAACAATTGATGAAGGAAAAAATGGATCATTTACCAAGCAGGAATTTTGTTGACAAACTTCCCACAGATGAGATTCAAATGAGATTCTAATACAAAGATAAAGCACCCCACCAGAAGCATGCTTAACCTACTTGTCTTTTGTCCTCAGATACATAAATGCTCAGTGGAGAAATACATATCTAGTCAATCACTGACAGTAGTATATGTATAATATTCTAGTCTCTGAATAAAACCAATGAGCTACTTCTGAAAAATTAAGAGTCTCTTATAATCTATTTTGAGACCAAAAGGAAAAATATATAAAAATAGGCAAGCATCGATATTTCTAAACATTGGGTTATATAGTTCTTGATGAAGTTCTCAGTAAAAGTTTCCATGAAATAAAAGTGATCTCCTGGAAGTACATGAATATCAAAACTCCCACTGGTAACATCTTTCCAGTCTAAAAATAAATTTATTTTTTATTAGTTAACAAATGACATTGAAAACAACAAAAGATTTACTTCTAGGTATTACCTTTCTGAGATCTGACACCAGTGATACTCTGTAACCAGAGTTACTTCCATGGTCTCATGTTCTGTAAGTCCTGTGTGTTTAATTTCTCTAAGACCTATCAGTATACACACAACCTATCATTTTACCCACAACCTATCATTTTACATATGACTGACATCTCTCCATTTACGTTAAATAAAATTTGGGCCAATATTCTAGTCATCACGGTAATTGCCAGCTGACATTAGCTGAAAATCATCAAACAAATGATAGAATACTCCAACTATCAAAATCATTCGCCTTTCATATCTTTTACTATATCTTCAAGTCCCAAAAAGCTTGTTAAGTCACAAAATAGAATGGCCTCAGATGGTGTGTCAGGTCTGGAAACAAAAAAGAGCCAGTTAGTAACTTCCTAATCACCATCACAGGACCTTCGGCTAATCGCGTCGCTTAGATGAAACTTGGTGTGTCCTCACTTCTTTCTCTCTTGCTATTTCCAGCAATCCAAACATTTTTCTACCAGCGGTACTTCTACCTGTCAGATCCTGTCTGTGGACCAGACCATTTTCCAAGATCACTTGACTCCTAGAACAATACAGATGGCAGCAGGATGGCACCTGGGCCCCCAGTCCAACTCAGGGTGAGGCTGGTTATAACTAATCCCCTTCACCGCCGTTCCCCAGACACAGCCACCTCTGTGTTCCCAGCTTCTCACGGTCCAGCAGAGGGCTGCAATGAACGGAACCAAAGCAGGTTCATGCAAGCAGAGCCCCTGAGTTGGTGTCACCTATTCTCAGTTTAATCACAACAGCAATAAACAGATGTCGAGCGAGGTGCTGGTTGCTATGTTAGCCACTAGGGACCTGTGGGTAAACAAACATGGTCCTTTTCCTCCTGCCCTTTAGAGACTGACTGGGGACATGGATATCAATGAAACAATCAGAAACTAGAGAGATGGTTAAGTGCTACCAAGTTCAGGGGGATCCACAAACACTTGACAGTTGGGGGTGGGAGTGGCAGCCAGCAAGGTCTCCCTGGGGAGAAGGAGTTGGACCAGAGAGCTAAATGAATAGGACCAAACTTGGCAAAGGGGAGAGAGGCAGCAGGGGAAGAGGGGAGAGAATGAGCACAAACCAGCCACTGTCGTTCAGAGAGCGAAGGGGGTCAGGGGACAAACGAGGTGGAAGAGGTGAATGAGGGCCAAGTCCAGGCCTCGGACAGGATTCTGGTCATCCTTAGAATGACAGGAAGCCACCAAAGGACTTAAGGCAAGTGTGTCATGACCAGACTCAACTTCCACCCCCTGGGTATAATATGGGGAATGGACTGGAGGGGACAAGGGGGGGTCTCTGACCAGTTCGATGGCTCCGTAAGTACTTCAGCAAGAATTCCTGCTCCTGGCCAGAATGCAGAAAACTAGGAGCGCCCTCCAAGCCTGACCATGAGAAAAAGCCCGACAAACAACAAGGTCATAACTTTTCTTGAACTCATCAGCTGAGTCTGCGAGGCAAACTAGAAACTGAATTCAGAGGAGGGCCGGGCCCCTCTCAGGAGAGGCAGGACGTGTGGGCTGGCTCACGTGCACAAAGCATGCGGGGAAGGGGCATCTGCTGGATGTTAGAGGGAGAAGAAATCAGCTAACGGGTGAAAGTGCTGGAGACTGGGGGCGGGACAGCTGTCAGCTGGAAGCCACGCTGCCTTGCAGGACCTTTTCCCTGGGCCTCCAACCCGGCTTCATAAGAAAGACTGTGAGCAGGGCATAGGCCAGAAAGAGCCCCTGGGCGAGGCAGGTGGGCAGTAGGAAATTGCTGTGGCCGTGAAATGGGTGCTAAACCCTGGCCCTGCCAGGCCCTTCTCTCCTATGAAGCAA